CCGCGTCTTTCTTTCCTTTCTCGATCGAAGTCGGTCCCCTCACCCACTCCGACTCAAAGTAAAATTGAGCTACCGGTCCCGTTCCGTTCCCGTGATCTCGAAGCCGGACGAACATTTAAAGATCTTGGCGTATAATCGTTGGTGAGGAGGTGCGGCCTTACCGCACCTGGCGCCCAACTGGAGTTAGCGAGTCCGAAACGAGATCCGGGGATCGCGGTAGTTTGTCGACGAGGCGGACAGACGACTGTCCACTACTATCAATAATAAAAGTCGTCGCAGTATCGCAACCGCGTTAAATTATTTATGTTTTACAGTGTATCGCAACCACGTACAGTCTGTATTTTGAGGGGAAGATACGCCTTGATGTCAACATCTTTTAAGTACTCGGAGATTGGGATCAGCGTAAGACCAGTATCCACTGTGAAACTAGTCATTGGTGACAATCGTAGTAATCAATTGGTCTTACTTTCGGTAACTTGGGAAGGATTGATGGCAAAACGTGAAGACATTTTACAACTTTTGTAAACAACAGAGCGTCCTCCTCTGCGCTATAGATTCGCGATTTGGCGGTTGAATGTTGCACGATATACAGCAAGAAACTTTTAGAACTCGCATTATCCGGTAACTCCATGTACTTCCAACCAGCTACAGTGGAACATTTGTTTACTCTTAAGCACTGCATTGATCATATGTATGCGATATTCTTATATGAAAATACACATATCCCGACTAGAAATTTACCCCATGGTCCTAATCGAGTTGACCATAACTGGATATCGGGTCCATTTAAGGTTATTGAGTCCTGAAAAGTCATATAATTTGTAACGGCCTTGCGTTACGTGCGGGATAGTCGTAGCCGGTGTGGTCCGGGTTTCGTGTGTGAAATGAAAACCAGTGGTATAGGTGATAATAAAGTGAAACTATATTCTACTTTCGAAGCTATTTACAATTATTTACAGGCGACGTTACGCCGTTGGCGCGTGGTCGCGTTTTTGCTCTCGTCGGGAGCCGTTGTTGTCGTCTCGCGATCAGCTGCGAGCGTCGAGGCGCGCGAGCGGCCGGCGGGACGCGGTCGGGATTGTTTCCTGTTACGCTATTGTTCGTCGTTCGGAGTTCGTTGTCTCATCGGCTTTAATCTGTTTATTAATCCTGATCTTTCCTTGCTGGTTTAAAGGCGCTCGTTGTCCCCGTTATCTTACGCCCTGTATGCGTTTGCAATCGTAGGTGTTAGCGGCGTAGCGTGAGGAGGAAAAAGGATGCCGACGTCGCGTATCCACTTCGGTCGACAGAGCGGTGTGTGTATAGGAAACCGACGTCGCGAATCCACTTCGGTCGGTAGAGCGGTATCGGAGAGGATGTCGACGTCGCGAATCCACTTCGGTCGACAGAGCGGTGTATGGATAGGAAACCGACGTCGCGAATCCACTTCGGTCGGTAGAGCGGTATTGGAGAGGACGTCGACGTTGCGAATCCACTTAGGTCGACGGAATGTCTAGGATCTCTAGGAATTGCGAGTTCTGGTCGGTCGTGCGCCTGAGAGGAGCTTTCCGATCAATCTCTCCCGATATCAGTTTTCTGTCGGCTTTTATACAAAATTATAACAAACAGTTCGACTGTTTGTTGACCTTGCGGTTATTTCGCGCGCGGTTGTTCGGCGTTAATTTGTTTTTACCGTAAATCACATTTCAAATGATGCGTGACGATCCGTTATTTATCTGGATCGTCACATCATATAATGCTGCTTCGTTATGAAGACCTTAACCAGGTTCATTATAATGTCCTCATCAAGCTGTACTATTGAATTCCTACACGTTTTCCCATACAGCGTAATAATGTTAAATCAATGTTGACCGATCCTTGGATCGGCTAAGTGTGGAAGTTTGATTCGCCGTGTACGATAATCGAAGAAATTTCGATACGTGCGTTTAATATGCTGGACATATTATCCTCCCACTATCATATTAATATTAAAAAATAGTATTAATATCTAATATCATTAAGCATCCGTGCTTGCTATTTATATGCCATTTTCAAATTTTACTGTTAGTTATTCAAAGGTACTTTCTACAATTTCGGTTTATCTTAAAATAAATAAGATCTTAAAAAAGATTTGATAAATAAAACATTATGAAATAATATATTAGGATAATACATTAAGGTCCTAATATACCTAATCATTATAACCTTGCAAAGGTCTTCCTTACTCAACTTTTATCAGTATATGACTAGGTTTACCATAGTAAGGATAACCTTACGAATCCCTAGGTAGGACCTTATACATATTAGGTATACATGATGACAATTTCTAGTCGGGATTGTTAATACAAAATGTAGAAATTTTGTAAAAATTCTTCGAGAGAAGAATATTACCGAAACGTATAATGCGATATCGGAGATACGCGATAGCGGGGATTTTGATAACGGCTCAATCGTCGATTGCGAGCTATTGACGTGTGCAATGAATGATATTATGTAGTATTGAACAAATAATCTGTACATGTAACACTTTAAAAATATATAAATTATAAATTGTAATTACAAAAACTACTGTTTATTTATATTACTTACTCTTTTTCCCATATTTCTCAATATACCACAAATTATCTTAAAATTTTATCTGGTCTCTTGCGGAGCACAGCGAGTGTTCTTGATACATAACATGCAAACGTTTGCAAAATCTTGTCGCAGAGCGCAGTGTGCGTGTTCACTAGTAATAAGAATATCGTGTATCACATTCTTCTTGCGCATCTTACTATCGAATGCATAGTTTGCAAATGTTGTCGCGCAGTGTCCTTGATATTTAATACGTATATATTTGCAAATTCTTAGATTTTGAATTCGCGATCAAAAAAATATACACCGTGAAATACGTAAGCCGGTCGGCGCGGGCGCTGCGGGCGGCGCGAAAAATCCGCGAGCTGCCGCAGAATCCATCGCGAAATACGGCGCAAAGTATGCCGTGAACCGCGGATCGACATAATAATTAATTGAAAGAAGATTGTAAAAATTATGTAAATATATTGGTATATAATGTCGGTAATAAATTACCGACAGTTGATAATTTCGGTATTATGTAAATATGCCGGTAAAAATTATGTAAATATGTAATTATATGTTGGTAAAAATAATGTAATTAAATGTTGGTGTATAATATCGGTAATAAATGTAAAAATTATGTAAATATATAATTATATGTTGGCAACAATAATATAATTAAATCTTGGTATATAATATCAGTAATAAATTACCGACCGTTAGTAATATCGGTATTTTTATGTAATTAAATGTCGGTATATAATACCGGTAATAAATTATCGACCATTGGTAATATCAGTGCGCCCCCGGTAAATACTCCTCCTGAGACGTCATACCCTCTGCCCTGTGACGTCATACCTTTAGTGACGTCATACTCCCGCGCCCGTGGTATCGCCTCCCCCGTACCCCCTCCCCCGCATCCCCCTCAGAGGACTTGGGTTAGAATCTCCTTACTATACCTTCTTACGCATACTTTGTAAACTATAAGTAATATTTTATTAAATAAATTTATATTATAAACTTACCTCTTTATTTCCTTATAAGTCAAATACTTTTTCCGATATAGCAACTAACACTATTCCTTAAATTACCACTGACAGGCTAACATAAAGTTATGATACCTAATTTGTAGGAATTTGGGGGCAATTGTTAATTGGTCGATCATTTACGCATTTGCGGGAATGATCATAGACATAATACAGGGTTCGCCACTTAAATCCAGACAAATTTGATTTTGACATTCCCACTATATTAGAATGCAGCAGTAGATGCCAGATGGCGTAAAGGTAGGCCAGAGACGTGAGTAAGACGTTAATAACCTCAAAATAGCCGAATCGTTCAAGTCGACTTCGGAATATAACCGAAAAGCGACGGTTATTAAAGGTGTCCGCGCCGGAAAGACGCCATGCAAAATAATCAAGTTCTTCGAATATCCCAAGTCGACAGTGGATGATATTGTCCAGAGGTACGCAGCCTCGGAGGTGGCCACCCTAATCGCCGTCTTGAGTGAGGGCAACGTCATGCCACCGCATTTCTTCAAGAAGGGGGAAATGGTCATGTAAGAGGTTTATGTGGAGATTCTGAGGACTACAGTGAAGCCTTGGATGGAGGACGTGGCTGCAGAAAGGCCGTAAATCTTCCAACAAGACGGCGCACCTCCTCATACGAGTCACTTAGTACAGAATTGGCTCTTGGACAATGTCGAGATATTTTGGTCGAAAAATTTCTGGCTTCCGAATAGTCCCGACCTGAACCCTTTCGACTACTACGTGTGGGGCGTATTCGAGAGGGTTACTAACAAAACCAGACACCCCAACGTGGTCAATCTTCAAGCCACTAAAGCATTTACAAAAATGGACCGGGCGCAATTGCAGACGGCGTGTTCGTGCTTTCGGAACAGGATCGAGGCGGTGATCGAGGCGCAAAGCGGCTACATTGAGTGAAAAAACTCAGAAAAAATTCCTTAACTTAACTATAAAATAATCTCTTTATACTTTTACATATTTTCAGTAATAAACGACTTTTTCGAGAAAAAAATTTTCATGTCCGGATTTAAGTGGCGGACTCTGTATATCTAGCCGAGCATTGAGGAGTGGAGGTAGAGGTTTACGTAAAAAAGGATGCACTGTGTTTTGTGGCGTTCTTTTTCATTCGTACATGTGTATGAGACTGTATATGTGAGAAAGGTTAGTAAAGAGAAATAAACGAGAACCTGGGACTGAAAACTACATGCCTTCTGCATCGAATTAATCGAATAATTGACTAAATGTTCTTTCTAACATACGTAGCAGTTCATTATTGTGCACGTAAAGTTTAATCACATCTCTTTTACACATAACTTCTTTCACATATACACTCATACATGCGCGAATGAAAGGGAACGCACGTCCACAAAACACAATGCATCCTTTTCTCCTTTTCTACGTGTATCTTACCCCCACTCTTCAAATAAAGGCAAACGCTCGGTCAAAATATAATATATCTTTGGGAAAGATACATTTTATATTCTTGTAACGATCGAAAAAGAGATCGTTACGAAAAAAAAAAGAAATGCATAGGACCGCGAAACGGAGTGTTAAAGGACAACGCGTCCTCGAGAAAAATAAACAGCGAGACTGCCGAACATCTGCAACACATAGCGAAGCAAGCGTGATTCGCAAATATAAAGCGCCGCGAATTCGTAATCGAGATCCGTTCTTTCGAGAGCACCAACTCCATACCGCTCCTGGCAGATTTCCGTTCGCGGATACGCGACCGAAATCACTCCGCCGTCGAGTCACGGATTCATGACATCGACATTGTTCCAACACCGTTCCCGGCAAATTGTTGCTCGCGGATACGCGACAAGAATCACTCCGCCGCCGGTGCACGAATACGTGCCACTGACACTATTTGAACCAATCCGCATCTGGCAGACCTCCGTTCGCGAATAAGCGACAAAAGTCACTCCGCCGTCGGCTCACGGATTCGTGACACCGGCACTGAAACTACCGCTATCCGCAAGATTCCACCGCCATCGAGGGCCTGGAATCAATCTACCAGAAGGTCGCTTAAACGCAACCTTTACACCGCTTACCGGATCTCGCTTCGCCTTAGCAAAAGATTAGTCTCAGAAGTATTTTTAGTACAAAATCTTATCTTTCTAACGCCATCTAGCGTAAACCGATTGCACTTATACAACGCGAAATACACATTACTAAAGCCATCTATTGGAAAAATAATGGATTTCTTTTTACTACACCTTATATATACACACACACACACACACACACACACACACACACACACACACACACACACACACATTGGTATTTGACTCATACCGTACCAGAACTAATATAGAGCTAGACTAGGTCGGGGTGAATAATGGAATCGATGTCTTTTTTTAAAACAACACGTAAAACTTCGAGTTGTTAAATAAAGTAGATGAACTAATCAGAGTGTGCGACGCGGCAGGCAGGACATACGGCTCGCCGTGGCCGGCGAAGAAAATGGGCGATTGCTCACGGGCCTATCTCATTTGGTAGCTACCAAAGCGGTCCACCTCTCTGGCCTATGAGATAGGTCAATCGAGTAATCGTCTATTTGCTTCGCCGACCGCGGTGAATCGTATGTCCCGCCTGTCGTGTCGTCGTGCTCTGATTAGCCCATCTATTTTATATAATAACTCAAAATTTCATGTAATTGTTTGAAAAAATACTGATTCCATTACGTACCCCGACCTATTTTAGTTATATATTAGTTATATATTAGTTATATATTAATTATATATTAGCTTTAGTACGGTATAAGTCAGAGACCTTGTATATACAGGGTGTTTCAGACCACCCAAGTTATCTAATTTTTTCGTAAACGCGACATTTTAGAAAAAAATGTTTCAGACAAAAGTTGTAGAATTTTAAGCGACGCATCAGATAGTAGTATACGTATGACCTTGAACAGCGTTGTCAAAGTTACGTGAAAGTCACCTTCAATTTTTTTAATGGAACTCCCCATTTTTCATTACATACTCATGTAGCTTATCTCAAAAGTTTTGGAAAATACTATAATAAAGTATTTTTTTATTAGGTATTTTTTTTTATTTATGAGAACTGAAAATTAGAATACCGCCGGCATTGGCATTACCCAAGATGTATCGTGTGGAGGTTAAACGGTCGGATATATATCTCTTTGTGTGTGTGTGTGTGTGTGTGTGTGTGTGTGTGTGTGTGTGTGTGTGTGTGTTGTATGTGTCACAGCAGAGGTAAGGATCACACAGTTCGTCGCTTCCGTGGTATTTATCGACTCCAAACCCTCCCTCCATTATCGACTCCAAACAACACACACAAAAAGAGGTATAAATCCGATCGTGCAACCTCCACGCTGTACACCTTGGATAATGCAAATGCCGGCGGTATTCAAATTTTCATGCTTCATAAATCGAAAAGTAATAGAAAAATACTTTATTAGTATTTTGCAAAGCTTTCGAGATAAGCTATATGAGTATGTAATGAAAAATGGGGAGTTCCATTAAAAAAATTGAAGGTGACCTTTACGCAAATTTGACAACGCTATTCAAGATCATACTATTGGGAGTGTGCATTAATTTTAAAGGATTTTCAAGAGATGGCGTAACTAGTACTATATCACACATAACAATATCGCATCGGGCCATATTGTTGCTACCTTTATGTCAAAGCACCATCATGTGACTTTAGTTTTCAGTGTCATTTTGCCGAAGTGTAAACAACATTGTTTTTTCAGCATTGAATATGTCGAATTTTGTTCAAACAAAACGCAATTTGCGGGAAGCTTTGCTGTTTTGCTTCCATTTGAAGAAAAGTGCTGCTGAAAGTCAACGAATGCTGTCGGAAGCTTATGGTGATTATACTCCATCGATTTCAACATGTGAGTACTGGTTTCGATGCTATAAAAAAGGTAATTTTGACACGGAAGACACGGAACGTTCAGGCCAGCCGAAAAAGTTTGAAGATGAGGAAGTGGAAGCTTTACTCGATCAATACCCGAGTCAAACGCAAGAAGAACTTACAGAATCATTAAATGTTGATCGATCAACGATTTCCAGACGTTTGAAGGCCATTGGAATGATTCAAAAGCAAGGAAATTGGGTGCCGTACGAGTTGAAGCCGAGGGACATCGAAAGGTGCAAAATGACCTGTGAATTGTTGCTTTAAAGACACAGAAGAAAAAGTTTTTGCATCGTATCGTAACGGGTGATGAAAAGTGGATACGCTATGATAATCCTAAGCGCAAAAAATCATGGTGCAAGCCAGGCGAACCATCAACATCGACGGCAAAGTCGAATATTCATGGCGCTAAGCTCATGTTCTGTATTTGGTGGGATCAGTAGGGTGTAGTGTATTATGAGCTGCTCCAACCCAATGAAATCATCACTGAAGAACGCTACTAACAACAATTAATGCAATTGAGCCGAACATTGAAGCAAAAACAACCAGATTACGCGAAAAGACACGACAAAGTGATTTTCCAGCACGACAACGCTCGGCCACATGTTGCGAAACCAGTCAAGGAAACGTTAGAAACGCTTAACTGAGATGTCCTACCACACCCGCCGTATTCTCCAGATATTGCTCCTTCCGATTACTACCTATTTCGATCGATGATTCATGGCCTGTCTGAGCAGCGCTTTCATTCTTATTAGGATATCAAAAAATGGGTCGATTCATGGATAGCCTCAGAAGATGTGTCGTTCTTTCGACGAAGAACCCACTTATTACCAGAAAGATGAGAAAAAGTAGTGGCTAGCGATGGACAATATTTTGAATGATCAATTTGTAACCATTTTTTCACAATAAAGCCGTACTTTTACCAAAAAAATCCTTTAAAATTAATGTACATTTCCAATAATAATACTATCTGATGCGTCACTTAAAACCCTACAACATTTGTCTGAAACATTTTTCTCTAAAATGTCGCGTTTACGAAAAAATCGGGTAACCCGGGTGGTTTGAAATATCCTGTATATACACAGGGAGATACCGTCAGCGCCGGAGGAGAAGAGCGACCATACAATAAAGGTCGTCTCCTCCTCCTCCAAGTAGGGCGTTCTAACCATAGAAGAGAAAGGAGGGAGCACAAGCCCCCACTTCCCCCCATTAATCGGTCAGGATGGCAACAGGGGGACGGGGCCCGAGTGGAGAATTCGGACCCCGTTTTAACCCATCTCACAGCCAGGGGAGGGCACGGCGATACGGCTTTCACGTCTCGCCGCAATAAAAAGCAATGAACCTGCCAGGGAAACAAGTACCCGGGAGGTCCAACAGGTAGCAGCCGAGAGCATCCCGGAAGTAATGCGAAAACGGTTCCCGGGGTGCTCTTACTAAGGCCGTGAGAACGGGACCGGCAGAAGTTTTAGTGGGTATGCCTCCGCAACTAAAGCGGAGGAAAGTCCCACATAACCCGCGATCTTTCTCCGAGGTTCGCGGGTATGTGTAACGCATTTCCCCTGCCTTAATAAAAAAAAAAGCGTGATATCGCCGACCGTGATATACGCGAATCGTGCGCCGGCCGAAAATATCTTTCTTTCGGCTGACGCTTCCCGAATGCTCATTTTCAAGACAACATAATTAATTACTCGAAAACTATTATAAATTTCGTATAATAGTATTTGACTTCTTTGTTCCGTTTAATCCGTTCTATTTTCCTACGAATTGTGTTAAGAAAGATTTTGAACACCCTGTATATGCACAAAGTTTGAAAATTCTATTCTTTAGTTTTTCTATAAAAACCTGCTTAAGAATATTTTGTTTTATCTAAATCAGGAAACCTTTTTAATGGAGAAATGAACTCAGCCTTTTGTTATAAGAGAGTGTTTGTATTTCACATTAAATGCATTTATCATGATAACCTTTTGTTGCACGTTTTTTTCTAATAAACATAATTTTGTGAAACTTATTATTGTTGTTGAAGTCATTGAATACGA